AATCCTTGGACTTTATGAAGGAAGTTCACGGGGGCCTGTGTCTGAAAGCCTCCTCGCTACCGGAGCTAGAAAATATTGCAGAGCTTCTGGAGCCCGAGGATTTCGCAGAAACTTCAAACCGTCGGGAGAACGGAGCTAGGAAGTCTGAGCCCCGAAGTTCTTTGCCCCGGAAATCTGAACCTCGGAAGTCTCAACCCCGAGTGTCTTCGCCCCGGAAGTCTTCACCCCGACTGTCTTCGCCTCGCAAGTCTTCCCCTCGGGGGTCTTCCCCACGGGGGTCATCGCCCAGGGCGTCTTCGCCCAGGGCGTCTTCGCCTCGAAAGACCCGTTAGTCCAGGACGCCTTGAGAGCCTTCGGACAAAGGGCCGGAGCGTAGAACGCAGGGGCGGAGAGAGGGCTGGAAGAGTCAAATCTCGTGTAATACGTCAAAGCAAAATCCTAGAGTTGCGACAGGCGGCTTGAAAGACTCCAGAAATTGCTAAAGCGAATTGCCGAATGATTTCACTCCAACGAACTTGTGTCTAAATGTAAATATATTAATTTCAATAATTGAAAAAAGTCTGTAATTGTGTGAACACAATCTTTATTTTTTTTGATTTTTTTTTCAATTTTACTGTGTAAAATGTTTAATATACACAAATAATGAATACTCTGCAAGAAGTGATTTGTTTCCAACAACTCTCTTTAAATAAAATTTGTATACAGAGTGCTTATGCATTCTTCACATTACTTTCAAAATTGTGGGAAATCAGGGATCATAGTAAATCATTATCTTCTATAAAAATTGATTACAATAAATTTTTTCTGGGGAGGGAAATAATCAGTCAGTATTTTACAAATATTTTTCAAGAAGAAATAAGAAATTCAGTTTGTAAAAATTTACAAAGGTCACGTTATTTAGATGATTAGCAACAACAAACAAGTTAAAAAAATATTTGTTGCATCTTCGTAACAGCTCTGCTAACCCTTGTTGGGCGTTGAGCGTTTATTGTGACGTAGTCCTCGATTATTTCATATATATTTTCTAACGTCCACTCCTACCTGCATAAACCACCAAGTGCCTAATAGCAAGGGGAGCGACGCTAGCCAATTTTTTATAAAGAGCTTGATTTTATATGAGAAATGTGGGATCTATAAGGTGCGAGAAAGGGATAATAGCAGAAGACACACAAATTAAATAAACGGTTCTTGTGTATTCACGAAATAAACAAATACAGTTAAGAAAGTACGTATTTCACTTAAGTTTACATCAGCGGCCACGACAGTTGGCTCCAGACGAACGTTTCCCGCGAGTAAAAGCCTGCTTTTCGGCGATTCGGATGAGAGGAACACACTCGCACGTCGGCATTTCGCAAGAGAAAAGCGGCTCGTTTCGATTTCTATACTGCTTATTTACTCGATTCTTCTCGTTAGCGCAAACATGACGTCAACTCCCCTATGAGGACGGAACCTTCAGCCACCCCTTCCCGAGAAAGGCGGTCACATTGTTGTTGACAGCCGCTCATAGAGCGCTCTCACCGACCCCTCCCTCGCACACGTCGCAAGCGCCAGACTTTCTTGACGTCGGTCGAATCTGATCAGTGCGTATTCGGGTTGTGTTTGGAACATTGCCAAATGTCACACACACACGCACGTGCGCACACACACACACCACGCACACACAGACACACACACACATCTTTACGTTTTTCTGATGCTTCTCGAGAAACGTTGTCAGAAGCTAATATAGCTGTATCATCCGCAAAAGTGAAAATAATTATGTTTTCAGTCTCCGAGATATCGGCTGAATGCAACAAATATGGTACTGGTCCAAGAACACTTCCTTCAAGCACTTCGGATTTTATAGGAAGGAGGTCTGTGATTTCATTTTGGTATTTGCACATGTTGCATTCCGATTGGATAGCGCACACGTGGTGAAAATGATGGCGAAGAATGTTCGAATTTGTCGCAGATGTCGCTGGCACATGCATCCATCAATGTTACTTCCCAGTGTTGATTCGAGCAAATTAAGCTTTTGGCAAGCTTCTCAGTACGTCTGGTATTCTACGCAAATGAAGCAGGATTTTTGACATTAACCAACAGCATTCTCAAATAGTAACACTCGAAATTAATTGAATTTACTGTGTAAATACAACCCAATGCGTCCGGCGAATACAGATTTTGATAGTCTTCAACACGCATGCCATGCTCACGTCGTTGGAATTTCTTACATGTATCATTCCATGCACAGTAATTTGAAACATCTGGTTCAATGTTTTGGCAAATACATCTTCACAAAGTTCAAAAAATGCTGTAAGGGTTGTGTGCGCTGATTCAGTAACAACGTTTCGTGTAGTAGCTACCACGAAATATACTCTTTGTCCATTTTCGAAATGAACACCTACGGGAACAACATTGGGATGGCGACTGTCTATTGGAAAACCCAAAATTCGACAAACAGCTTCATTGGCGCTGATAATTATATATCGACCTGTTTGAAATAGTCTCCATTGTTAGTACATCAGATCTATTAATACTAATTAATGCCGTACCTCTGTCTTTGTTGACGTATTTGCATATATACTTGATGGATTTGTCGGAATGGCAATATTCAACGTTGTTATGAGCTTTGAATGTATTAGGTAACAGATGAGAATATCGTACAAACCATCTGTTTGTTTCCACATTTCTCATTTCGATTGTTATTGTATGACCTCCATCTTATGGTTTTCGGCGTCTGTATTTTGGATATCCATCATCACCCGTTCGTGTTTCATGAACTGAGCTTTTAGGATACTTTTTCGTGCATTTATTTACCATGCAAAGAGCCCCATCTTGATCAGGTTTTTGTCCTGTTTCCCTGATCCATTGGGCAAATGCTGATATAGGGCCAGCTGAGAGTTTCACCATAAATGTGATTGTTCACAATTAATCCCATCAATTCAGTGAGTTTCTGCTTGAATATTTGTCCAGTCAAATCCTCTCATGATCGAATAGCAGCTGACCAGGCAATAGAAGCTCTTTTATCTCGTCCCATGCTAAATAGCATGTAAATGTTATGAAGGCCATACAAACGCACATATGTCATTGCATCCTGTACATACTATTCATGCCTATGCCATAGGATGCCAATGAACGTTACTGGAAGTTTGACAATTTTGCCAAAGTCGAAAACATTCAATTATTTTCCAATTGCATCGCGTAAGTGACTGTATTCTTCTGAATGCAACGCACTATGTTTCATTTGAAGGAACTAGCTGCGCTTCTGGTGACCATATGGCAAGTCTTGTTTGAGTACCTCGGGGCCCAACAAAAAAACTAGGAAAGGACATTACTGAACAACAAAAGAACCAGTTGCGTGTCATCACAATGCAAATGATCACGGAAGTTCTAGAAAAAGAAAGATGATGTCCAAGGACTGGCAATAGTACCTCCAACAAGCCCACGATTTGAGACACCAGTTTATGGAAGGCACAGTAAACTCACCTATGAGGACTATCTGAAAAATGTTTAAATGAAACCGAATGTATAAATGTGAAATACATTCAATTGTTTCTTAGAATTTATCACAAAACCTTTTTCCTGGTACCTTCTCTTGAAATATTTTTCAGTTTTGAGACATGCACAGAAATAGAACATATATTCAGCCTGAACTTCGTATTTTCATTAAAAATTAAAGTAAACTACTATATATTATAAAAATTATTTAGATTGTTACGTCATGTGAAGTAATATAATCCCTTCCTCATAAGATACAAATCATTAAAAGAATCTCGACCAAAAGTTCCAGAATATTAGTGGGTCGTCCTGACCCACAATGACAGAGGTTTCTGGCGTACGCCACCTCCCCGGATAAATACAATTCGTATGGCTTATATTTCACACAAAATTACGCGAAAACTACAAACATGCAAAATCTTTTGCTCACCTTTTTCTCAGAAATTATTTTCAGCTCGCGGGCTACTCTGGGTTGCAAATCTGCATAATGCCTCTGTTAGTTGAACTTTTTAACACACTGCAGTTCTTTCTAACACACTTAACGCTTCACCATTGTTATGGTATCTACAAAACGAAACATTTCTTCCCATATCGAAAGAAAATTAACAGGCGTAGATGAGCTCTCATGTTGCTTGAAACACCTGCAAAAACCCACTGCTAATGCCAAGGTTTCAGACACCGGTGACAACCGTCTACCCCTCCCCCCTTTGCTCGCGCTGCTTCTCTTATCGCATGGCCGCAGAGGGGCTTGGAGCTCCGAAGGTATTTCTCCGCCAGTTGGCAAAACTGATTTAGGCGCTAGCGTTGATCACAGAGGAATGTGGGGCCAGACCGGCAAACAGATGGACGTTTTGCGTAAACCAACTCTTTGGTATCGTTACAAAAAAGTATCTGACTGAACGATATACTAGAGAAAATAATTTACTGCAAAAAGGAAATGAATTTAAATATTTTTACGATATAAGGCCCCACAATTCGAGTTTTTCTGACGATAAACCGCTAGTTTCCCTCACTTCATTACAATACTTTATGTTTACTACGTAAGAACGTAGTAGGTGAGAAAGTAAATTTGGGACTCTTATAATTGTTTCAAGCAGGAAAATCTTTAGGGTCAACAGAAAATTAACTACTCTTACTTACCTGGGCTACAGGGAATAATGAAGCGAAAATGACTTAAAAAAGGTGGGTTTAGGCAAGTCTCTCAAATACAGAGTCAGAATGGTTTACAGCCAACATATGTAAGTAAGATTGTTCTTCAGTAGACGTATTACATAATGGAAATTAAATCAAGGCTGCTGGAAAATTTTCTTTTTCAAATCGAACTACAACTGGATTAGTTTCCCTAAGACAGTCTTAGAGCCCTTTCCCTTAGCACACAAAAGCACAAAAATAAGTACATTAATAATTCAGTGGTTAATTTTATTCACTTATAAGTTATGAAATCTTATTAAAACTTCTGATAAAGAGAATAACGATTTTCTTTTCCCAACAAATTATTAGTTCTTTTTATTATTTAGTGTAGTGCTTTTACTTCAGGTGTCTGTTACATAGTGATCATGACAGATATCATAGAATAAGAAAGAACTGAAGTGTTGCTTAATGTTGTAATGAAAAGGCAAGTGCAGTGAAGATAATTGTATTTTTATAAATTTTCTAAATAGCATTTTGAGGAGAATTCTATATATTAAGTAAAATATATAAAATTATTAAAATGCAAGTTGAATGTACGTAAATAATACTTGTTAAAATGACACCAGGTTGCAAAATATGCACAAGCAAAAGTAATATATTTCTTTGAGTAAGAAGTAAAGTTATTTTTATTGAAATGTGAATATTCTGTTTATTATTTTTTGTACATTTCTGTAATGTTCGTAAAATGTGTCTTAGTCAAAATTTCAATATTTAAAGGACATTTCAACACCATTTTTTGATATACTGTAATATACACATCATGGGATCAAGCTGTTTTGTTATTCCATGTGACAGTTAAATGAAATGAAATAAAATAAAATATATGAAATTATTAAATATGAAAAATTACTAATAAAATATCAGTAAATGGTAACACAATGTATTTTACCACAATCAACAATATATCACAACTCCACATACAATGCTACAAAAACTTATATTAATGTTGCAAGATGAATGCCAGAATTTTTTATTCTTTAGATTTAATTAACATTATTCTAAGATAATTTATTGTTGTATCAATAAAAATTTAAAGCAGACATTTATTTTTCCAACTGTAAACATGAATTGTGTAATTTTTTAAGCACAAAATTGACTCAAAATTTTAGGGATATATTAATTCATCAAATGCACAAATGAAATGCATAAGATATTAAAATTTATTAATAATGAATGAAAAAGAAGCTCTGATACATTTAATTTTAGTGTAAATTAATAGACAAATACATGTATATTCTGGCATGACATTTCTTTCTTCACAAATATTCAAAATATTGGACTTGCTTTATTTCTTCTCTTTCAATTTCTAGTCTGAAAATTTATTTTCAATGATGTACATCCTCATTCATTTTCTGCAATGTAGCAGAGCACAAGTAATTCAGAACAGGCACGATGTAAATACAATGTAAAATAAGGTATTTCACATCATAGGTACAACTGTATTATTTATTTGATAAGAATTTTACCATTTTATACAATTTGATAAATGATATTCTAATACAAAATGTACACTTTTTATTCATCATTTCTCAATATCAAATTAATACAAACACTGTATTTTTTCTTAAAGTGATCAGAAAAACTTATAAAGAAATAGAAGAATATTCCAATTACTTTTTAAAAACTCCATTAATCAAAAGAAAATATCTAAAATGTGTCTGTTCATAGCTACATGAAAACACTGATCCATGGTACAGACCATTTGAAATATACACACCTCATTGAAAATAAATTTCAAAAGTACTTCCTCATGGTTTTATACAATTTTAAAAAAGTTATGTTCTTCACCACTGTAATGTTTTCTTGGAGACTTTTTCTGACCCAGTTATAATCATGGCTCAGAAATTTGTATTATTTAAGTACAGTATATAACATTTAGTACTGGTAGCCTGCATTTTCTATAAATATTCACCTAATATTTTTTATTTACATATTTTATTACAAATATATTTTCTATAGACAAATAAACCTAATATTGCACTGACAGTACCTAATTATACATACATTTCAATGGAAGTCTGCAGACTGTAGAGTTCATTATGACTCAAAAACAATTTTGGGAAGATCTAATGTGAGGTATTTCTGACAACCAACTGAGACGTAGTCATATTGTGCAGTTAGGCCAATAAAAGCTGTATTGTATGGAAGAATTACTGCAATTATACAATAAAATGTTCACTAAAATTTTATCTTTCATTATGTTTCTCTACTATCACAAAGAATATTTCACTGAAAATAGTCACTATTATTATACAATATTCTAATTTGATTTATTATCGTATCCTCATTGAACAAATATTCAAAGCAGCCAGAAAATATTAAATATTAAGAATGTAATAAGTTAAAAATAACTTTTCAAAAACTTTCTCATTTAATTTTTACATTACTGTCCATTTCACTGTTAACAGTCGATAGATTATTCTTTTAAATTTGGCACACTCTCATATGATTTCCAACTTCCCACTACATTGAACACTAGTTTTAACCACATGATAACTTTGTGGTTGTGTTAAAAACTGAAGTAAATTTTCATTTTAATCTCTAAACTGCCAAAATCTGATGTAATTGAAGTATCATGTTGCAAAACAACATTTCTAGTGTTTGATATATCTTTCACAAAAATTTTGTAGGTTTTTTAATATGCCGATCAGATATGTTGTAAATCAATTTCTAATGCGCACTTCCTAGAAGGACACTACTTGGTTTCAAATATTCGTACAAGAATATGTCTCTATGAAGGGTTTTTCTTGGATTCCTTCACTGACTCTAAAGTTTAATTATTAAAGATGAAGGGACTTTTGTTATTACATCATTTGCAAGCTGATATTGGCACAAAGTCAAGGGGAAATACTCAAATCTTCAGATCTGAATGTGTTTCTCCAAGTGTTAGATTTTATTCAATTCTTTTCTGTGCTGATGAGACTTGAAATTCTAATGTTTTTCAGTAAGTCAAAAATTAAAATATTACTGGAAGAATGTTGAAACATTTCTTGCATAGTTCATGGAGAAACATGGTACTAATATACACGCTCAAGTTTCATTCACTTGAGTAGACTGTGACAATTCTACCGAAGACATGCATAATGACAAAGTAGAAATAGATATATAGATCAATTAAACAAAGATTTTTTGAAGAACATATTTGTCCATAAGTCCATTCATGGCATAGTTCATTAGTAAAGCCCATTCATAAAAGCAATATGAATAGATGTACTTTTACTTAAAACCAGGATCTGCCACCATCTCATTATTCATGAATGCTGTAGAAGCTGAGTATCACATGTTTGCAGGAAAGAAATTCATTCATACAACTGATCTGATTCTACAATATCTTAATAATAATATGGTGACAAAATATTTTAATATTCATAAGCCCTAAAATAGAGAAATTGTACATGTGCACTGCAAATATTTTGGAAATAGAGCCAAATAGTTTGTTTAAATTTTCATTTTCAAAGATTCATCAGTAGTCATAAAAATAATTTTATAGAGAAATATCTTGTTATTGCAATGAGTGGGCGGCTGATGGTAAGTTGGACGGACCATTTTGCAATGGACTCTCTTATTCACAAAACAATATTGAAATTAGATATATGTACAAAAAATGCATCTCATAAATAGTTAACTGAATAACTTTTGTCTTACACAAAAGAAATAGTACACATTTCTTCCCTAAGTTTTTTCTCATAAAACTGTAGAAGAAGAAACAAACTTAAAATCTATCATAAGTAGTAAATGACTAAGATGAATTTAATATATATTATACAAAAAGTTCACAGCTATTCTTTGGCTTGGATAAGTTTCCATACTTTACTTCATGCACCCTTATGGCATTGCACGTTTTCATTGAACAAATGAATTTACATCCTGTCCAAAAATAAGTTTCTGTTTCTACTATCATGAAAATTTTTCATTAACACATTTATGTGCATTTATTCCCTTTCTTACATCTATACTGAAACAGAATTTGTGCACAAACCTGGAATACAATGCATTCTTGATTAATTCTTGTCTTTCACTGAGCAGAGAAAGGTAACTTTTACACTGCAGCACGAGATAAAATCCATCTGTTTTGCAGAAATACATAAAGATCAATATGCAAAAGTGCCACTTAAAGTACAACAGTTGCTTTGCTGTTTAACAGCTGGATTCTAATAATAATAATAATAGAATTCAGAGATCATCTTGCACTATTTCAAGCAATTTCTAGAGAAATATTATAGGCAAATGTCAGCAATTTTGTAGTATGATGGGCAAGTTATCAATGTATTATTTACAAACATTTATTATTAATTATTAACAAAAAAAATTTCTAAAAAAGAAACAACACAATGCATGAATATTAAACCATTAAGAAGCAAAATGTACTTCAAAATGCTCATATTCGGATGAGAGAAATGGTATTCTGAAAATATTTCAGTTTGAAATATAATAGTAACAATTAAGTGTATATCAAAACAAGCTGTGTACCTCAAATGCTATTAATGCATTAATGAGCGTTGATTCATATCTTAGCTCATTAATTTTTGCAGTAAGAGCTATAATAACTGTTCAATTACTGGATGGAGCAGGCACATATGCTCAGCACCTCTAATTGGAAGCCTGTTGATAGTGTAGTGATGAATCATCTCAGGAATACTATCAAATGGTTTGCTGAATTGTCCTAGGATGAATTTACCAGTTTCTTTATTTTGTTGTATTCTCATGTGCATGAATCCTCTTGCACTTCTGTAATTAATGATATTTTATATTAGGCCTACAAATTAGATTACATATAATTATAAGACAAATGAAAATAATCTTACACGAACACATTAAGCCTAAGCATAATTTCACAGCTATTATTACAAATTACACAAGTTGCGAATTCATTAATATATTTTAATTGAAAACAAAGTTATAAAAGGTTTAAACTTAGACATTTTTGGTAGAATGGAAGTTGGCAGTCACGATTCTTTTTAATGATTTATTATTTCACGTGTTGAAATATGGTTCATTGTTCGTTGTTGTTGTTCGTGTAGATCAGTATAATACTATTCCCTTTAAAAGAATATTATATTCTAGGATGAACGTCCAATGACGTTTAAGGTGAGTATTCGTATAAAACGCAGTGTCAGGGATGTTTCATGTTAACGCGAGAGCCGAAGGCCCGAGCCTCGTCCACAACGCGGACTCGCCAAGCGAAGCGACACGATTCCACAAGAAAGTGCATCTGCCGCAATGGCTATACAATTAATTTCTAGGATGAACAATACGAGCTGAAATTCACGTTGAGTCCTTAATGTTGAGCGCCGTTCACGAACTGAACGTTTACGTTGTTGAGGACAGACTCCTTGCCGGTGAATGATTTTTTTCTTGTGAAAGGAACCGTGACACTGCCAACTTCCGATTTAGACAATTTTTAGAAGATTTTTCAGTGCTTTTGATAAGAATCCTAACATTATTTGGAATTTGCATACAAATATTGCAATTAAGCAACATTGGCATTACTTACTTTAGTGAAAGGGAATAATCTTGTCGCGTTGATTCACTGTTGCGAACAAGGTAACTGCCCTCCCTTAGCAGCCTCAAAATGTTTTCTGCTTCAAGTCTGGTTATAGCCCCATGATACCACCTGATAACAAGAGATTTATTTTTACATGCCAGTAAATATAATGGGAAAGCAATTATACAAAAATGATATAGGCGTGCGCAGCGTACAACAAGAGGCGGCCAAGTACATTTCTTATATCATTATTTTTTATTTGCATTTGTTATGTTGTACTAATTAAAAAATTAAAAGATTCCACAAAGAGAAGGTTATTGTAACTTTACTGAGACAATTAATAAATACGTTTCACGATTAACCATTTACAGAGTTGCCAGGTGTCTTGGAGATCCTCTTTCCAAATGTAAACCCATTGTGAGGTTAATAAAAACAGGAACACCAGTGGAAAGTAGATTTTCCGGGCTGGTAGGCCGTGGTCCAGTTGGCATAGTTGGCCCAACTATGCCAACTGGACCAGGGCCTACCAGCCTGGAAAATCTACCTTCTATTGACTCCGGCCGTGAAAGCCTACGATACTATAGGAACACCAGTGGTTGAACATATTTACGAAAATAAAATGTTCATTACGAAGAGCTACGGGGCCATTTCGAAATTTTCGGGGCCTTTCTTGCCCCCCTCTTGTGTCTATGACATCTTAGAATTGAAATGAAATGAAAGCGTAAATGCGTAAAAGCGTAAATAAAAGCGAAAGTTTCCGCGGCTGGAGTCAGCTGTTCGGGAGACGCCGGGCAGATGCTAACGTTTCGGCCGCCATGCTGCGTCCTTCCGCAGGGCGAAATGCTATACAAGCTAACTCATTTTCGATTATGAAACGTCACGAAACGAAAATCTTCTGTTCTGTTTATTCACGTTTAGAAAGGAACTGAAGGTTTTCTTTTCTTTGCCTCCCATTAACCAGCACATTTCATTTGTTTACCCGCTCCTTCAAGACTGTCTCTGATATTTTCTGATTTTTTTTTTACCCCTAGCGAAGTCTAATCCCCTCTGTGCGTACCCGTGGGATCTATTCTCGCGTCATATTGCCAACAATATATTGGTAGTCAACAAATAAGGACAGCTGTGTCTTCTTGGGAGAGTGGAAAGATATTCATTTAGACGACTATACAGGGTATCTTCGACCATTACTGCACAATCACAAGTTCCATGGGTACGGACAGACAACGCTACAAGTTTAGATGAGCATAGATTTCTTATCAGACAAGGAGCACCTCCTTGTAAGCTCTCTGGGAACGATGCGATTCAGGAAGAGAAGTCGCTTCGAGTGGAAAAGAGGCCACTTGCAGCCAACTCACCCCTGGCGCTCCAGCGCCAACGAGACGTCCACGTGGTCGCCCCCGGCGGTGATGAAGTTGCTGCCCGGCAGGTTGAGGCACAGCCCCATGCGCTTGCGCGGAGAGCCGGCCGGGTCGTCCAGCCCGCCCCCGCCAAGCCCCAAGTTGAGGGTCAGACTGGGCCGGCCGGGAGCAGAGCCTGGCGGGAGAGAAACAGCCATCTCTGAGCAAACTTCGACTTCAGTATTACGATACGAATATCGTACAACGTTTTATAGAATCTGTGAAACTTGCAATGAACTATAATTTTTGTTTCAATTTCACTTTTAATTTTGTACCTCAAAATATTACACGAATGTACAAGCATATATTTGCAAGTGCGAGCGTGCGTGCGTGCGGAAACAAGAGAAAAGACTCGACGAGGAACAAACGCGGAAGCGAGCAGACATGAACCGCATTAGCATCTGGGAGTGGACTGTCGCGCCGGCTTTCGGGAGCGCCGTTCATTTGCACGTTGCGTCTTCAGCTGCTGTTCGTCGCGCGCTGCGGCGAGCCGCTGTCGCTATCGCTGTCGCTGTCGCTGTCGCTCGCTCCCTCATCTTTTCCTTCGCCCTCCGCCTCCGGGGCTGATCGCTGCGCTAACGACGGAACGATGGCTCTGGCGACGCGTGGCCGTCGCGGCCCCAAGCGCCGCTAACAATTTCCGATTGCGATCCCGCAAGGCGAGGGGGGCAGTGCTCGGGGGTGGCGATGCACGCGGCGGCGACCGCAAGGGCTGCCGGCCCTCTCCAGGCCCTTCGCCGCCTGAGCAGTGCAGGGGGATGTTGGCTGATTCCATTTCGGTGCTTCGAGGTTTCTTTCGTGCTGAACCACGAGACTTTCTGCAAGGTGGAGGGGAATTCTCACGACTAGTGATCGATATTACATATTGTTCTTTAACGTTTTCAGAAAATGCTATTTTAGTATTTATGTTTCTTTCCTTGTACTACGGGATACTGCATTTCACAAGAATATTTAGTAAAAGAGTGTTGAGAGATACTGAAAATGGATTACTGTGCTCTGATGTATTAAATACTTATCTCAAAAGTTTCATTTTTATTTTTAGTTTCAAAAGTAATTTAGTACTTCATTCACGACAATAAATTTTGTAAGCATGTTTACTCATGAACATTTGTGACGATAATAATTTCTTTCCTAATATAATAAAACAAGAAATATTCTGTAATGTCTGTTAAAAGAGGTGTGCCAGTGAGTCATTTCTCAAAACTAACTGCACTGTATGAGATTCCTTATTTTATTTAGAAAATTAATAAGAAAACAAACTTCTTGTTTTATGGAAATGTAGACCTTAGTACATTAGGCCAGTCATGCAACAAGTACTTGAAAAATGAAAACATCGAAAATCGCAAATTAGCACAACGTGTTTATGGCAGGAAATTATCAGGTTGGAAGGCACTTCTCCATTCGATATTAATATTTCACTCCGTAATTATCCAACAGGTTTTACAAGACTTGACTGCTCGGCTCCCGCCGTAAAACAGGTTCACTAATTTGTTGAAGAAAAGACCGGTTGAAACACGAAAAAAAATCTCTCTGATCCACATCATAATACAGCCGACATTACGCTTCCACACCTAGCTTCAGGCTTCAACTTCCAGAAACACTAAAAGTATGACAATAGCAAAAGATCTTATTCGATGTAAGCTCGATGTAAGTGATAAACCTATAGAGCAAGTGTTAGAACAAAATGCTTAGTGATAGTGATCGCAAGCTCAGAACAGATGAATAAAGCGGTAAAACTATTCATGAAAGGAAACAATTTTCGGCTGCTTAAATTACTCAGTGCGGTACAACAAATATTTCAGACAAGTCTCAAAAGTAAGAATACATAAGTCAGTAATTAGATCGATTTTAACATGTACAGCAGAGACACGACGTGAACGAAAAAGCATAAAAAACATATGCATCGTCACCTAGAAGTGGCAGAAATGGGTGTGTTGAGAAAAATTTTAAATAAAACGTACTTGGATAGAGAAGGAAATGAAAACATTAGAATAACACGTGAAATTAGTCCTATTTCCGAATGGATAATATCACGTAGGAGAGAATGGAATGAATACTTTGATAGAATAAATGAAGACAGAATTGTAAGGGTCTCGAGAGATACTAGACCAGTGCAAAGGAGACATCCCGAGGCGACGATGGCACAAAAGTTTTTAAATCCAAGGAATGAAACAGGCCTACGGCCTACTAAGAAGAAGAAGAAGAAGAAGAAGAAGAAGAAGAAGAAGAAGAAGAAGAAGAAGAAGAAGAAGAAGAAGAAGAAGAAGAAGAAAAGAAGAAGTAGAAGAAGAAGAAGAAAACGACCTAGCTTCAGAACATTAAGATCCCCAGCGCAGGGCGTAAAAGCCGCCAGACGGTTTCACTGCGTCGGTTGTTTCATGCGGTGGCGCCTTTCGCCGGCAGCAGATCCAACCGGAAGCGGAAGCGGAAGGAGGAGAAGAAGAAGCCGCGGGAGCGCACGGCGACCCCTACGAGCGCAATAACCGCTGCCGGCAACGGCCCGCCCTCATTACTAGTTGCGCGACTTCTCTTGCGTCTGAGCTCCCTAATGCGCAACCCAGCACGACTCGGCACGTCTGGTCAAAACCTCGCGTTCGTGGACTTTCGCGCTTGGAGTAAATACATTCTTGGCTACCCGGGATGAACCGCTGTATAGCACTGGAGGAGGCCACAACAAAATGGCTGAAACGTCAGTCCAATTGACCGAGACGCGGCTCATCCCGGATACCCAAGAACGTATGGTCAAAACCTTGGTTTCACACGGAACGGATTGGCGAGATTATCGGGACTACCTACCGCTGCTTTCGAATAAATTCAGTTCTCGCGTTTTCACTGTTCTTTGCTGCGCCCTGTGACTTATTTGCTATTTTACACGACTCTATTTTGCTTCCCTCTTGGTTTTACGGTCCGGATTTTGGTCTACTCTATCGTCTATAACATCATGTTATATTAATAGCGAAAGAGGCGCGAATAGTATTGATAATGTTCCAGTTGGCGACACGCGGCTGATAAGGCGCAGGCAGTAGCCTCCTCTTCCTTCGAGGCGCCGAGAAAAGTCGCGCCGCTGCTCGAAGCCCCGGCGCCCGGCATCTCTCGCTTGCACCGCGGGGGCGGGGGAGGGGGTGAAGAGAGGGGGAAAGATCTTACGAAATGAAACTGGTGGTGATACAATACATACTTTCTCGCGATATTGCTAAAGGGTATGCAATATAATACATGACAATAGGAAGGGTACAGTGTTGAGTAAGTTTAGAATAGAAAGTGACTAGCGAATAATATATAGTAATTAGGATACATAGTAATAGTATAGGTATTAGTAGTAAACCCACCACCCACCCTGCATGCAGAAGGCCTTTTCCCTTATGCGTTTAAATAATGCTACTAATAATAAATAGTAATAATAATACTAAATACATTCTTCTACATTTTACAAGTTACAACAAATTTTACTCTAAAATGTTATTTACATTCGGTTTCACTATTTGATTTATAAAATTGGAAGGGCGACAAACAACATGATACAATTTTTACAGCCCCAGTCAGCCATGATTTCTACACTCCATTTAATTACACAATACATACTTCATCAATGTCAAGAAACGCGAATTCGTTCGAAAGAATGCTTAGAACGCTTACCATAGCAACTTCTTATTTTCGCTTCATCCTACTATAAGTGTCGATTCCTCTCAGGAAGAAAATCTACTATTCAAACAAACGAGCCAATTATTCTCGATTTAACATTTCCCAGATAGGCGACAGAGATGGAGTGTTCAACAAATTACCCGACGCATATCTGAGGGGCAGGAGGTGTCAAAATGTCGGCAGGGCTTAAGCGGTGGGAGGGTCTAGAAGCACAGAGTAGGCTACTTCCTTCAGTTGCGAATAATCAGAAAGGGAATAGGATTGGAGAATGGTGAGGTGACTGCAGAATTTCAAAGAGGCAGTAAAGAGGGAACAGACTCGTACCATGCACTTACAATTATAAACTAAAAATGGTCACTATACAATCAAAAAAGGAAATTAAAAAAATCGATTCTCGCATATAATAAACATTGAAATTAATTACCAGAAAAAATATTATTGTATACAATTGGAGACCTCGGAAAGAAAGTTGACGATAATGAGAACAGCTGCACAAACAAAATTTGGACACTTAAGGGAACTACGTTAAGATTAAGGTCCTGGAAGAGAATAGTCTCTAAAACGACATAATATGATGTGAAGAAATAACGAGAAAATCAAGATTTGAAGAAAGTGATGAGACGGATAAGGATGTATGTCAAAAACAGGCGAGGGCAGGATGCCTTAAAATACGTAATGTCAAATCAGAAGCAGAGGAAGAGGTTGAAGAAGAGCAGAAGAATAAGTAGAAAATGTAGTTCAAGGATACGACGGTTGCAACACTTGAAAATTTACAGACAATGCGCATAATAAAGCCGTATAAAAAGTTATCAAATTTTGGGAAAAAGGCGAAGGTTGTATTACAGGGCCCGCCAAATCACAGTTAATATGCAGAACAGAAAATAGTCCACAAATATTTGATAAGATGTATATTTATTTGTTTTAATATCGTGGCTAATGAAGTTTCAACTGGAATGAAATAGTTCCATCCAACGATGTAAACTGTAATATATAGTAACTCTAAAAAGTTTCAAAATAAAACAGGAAGTTAAACTAATTCTATTTTAGTCATCTTAAAGTCTGAAAAGCGACGTAGGGTATTTTTTCTTTTCTGTGTTGGCAATTTTTGTCGTTAACATTCCCAAAAAATATTCGTACCCGATGTACATCATAATAACGCGAATGTTGAGTTGTCATTGATTTATGTTTGCAGCCAAAACATGAGAACTTCGGAGATTTCGCCAACATTTCAACAGTGCATCTTTATTGTAATCGCTTGCCATTGCTTCAAGTGTCATGCACTATTATTTCCATAATTTACATTTCATTTTTTATTTTATGCAATTAATTTATTCCTGGCTCTGTTGCATTATACTGAATTATTTTAAAATTAAATAATAGATTCAAATGTTGGTTGTTCTGACCGGAAGTAGGTTTAGACGGCACATTGCAAATTCAGTTTTTGCTGTAGGTGGCTTTCATCGTATGTAGTTATACATATCACAAATATTCGTAAATATTGCGCAATTGACACGTTTCATTAGCCATCCACATAGCATTTAAAAACATCTCTTTTCTGAGATCATACATCACCAAAGTACATCAATGAAAGAAACTATGAAGCATAGATATGATTCAACAGAAACTACCGTAATATGGTTTACGATAACAACGAGAGTTGTGTATCTTGTGGCATAAATCTTCAGGGTGACGGCTCAATCTATATAAGGCCGTCATCAAGTTTGCCCGGAGGGGCAGGTGTTGACATGTAATAATAATAAGGATGACAATTGTGGTGATGATTTCATGACGATGTGAGTAATATGCATGAAGGTTGGGAGAAAATGGCAGAAAGAGAGACCGGAGAAATCGGCGAATGCAAAAGTGGAAAATCGGTTTTCCTTCTACATATTCCACTTGGACCCGACGGGTAGCAAACCCCGCCCCATCAGTGAAAGGCGAGTAGTCTGAACGCTACACCCCGGGTAGGCCTAGCACGAGCAGTCAAAAGGGTGGGCAGACAAAAGGATAAACTGATAGAGGCCGTCAGATCCGTGGAAGCACGCTCTCCACCCGCGGAAGGCGTGAGGATCGTCTGGCCGAACGCGGGGTTCCGTGGGGGAGTGGCTCACCAGCACTTTTGTTCGATCCGGAGACGGTTTTCCTTCTTTTTTTTTGGTCGGGCACTCCCCTCCCCCCTCCGGGGCTTCGCCTCCGCCTCCGCCTGCCCCTATGAAGGATTGCCTCGACGCGCGTCGGCGGGCGCGCCGCGTCGCAACTCGGAGCGGCAAGGCCCTCTGTAGATCAGCGCGGCGCAACTCCTCGCTGCCTCCCTATCCCGACTGCGCGCGCCCTCCGCACACGCTCTAGTGCAGATGAAAAAACGGAGGTGGGGTAAGCGCACTCCGTACCATTTCACGAATGGGAAACGGACGAGAGAGAAGAAATGCTGCGAAAATATTCCGAACGTGAAATGCGCATCATAACACGGAAAATCGGGGATTGGAGAAATGTTTCGCAGATTAACAAAGACAGACAAAAAAGATGAAGGCTTCTTTTCGGAGCGAATCAATCACAAAAGCGTTATTTTCAGAAACACTGTCGAATAAAAGCGCACGTCCACTACGCAGTTTGCGGATATGTGTTTCTTGTTGACGCGCGCCTTCAAGATTATGGTTTATTCAATTCAATTACGCACGCAAATTTCGCTACGCTCCTTTCACCGTATAACAAAGAAAGAAGGTATCACTCAGGCGATGAAACTGGCGATTATAAGTTTGTTCAGAGGGTTCTTTTAGACTTGATCTTTTATAGGCTGTAAAAGGGTCTACATGACACAACTGGCTTTACTTCCTCTCCGCAAGAAAGCGAATAGATGATATTTTCGCCCTTAAAAATCCACAGTTTCAATTGGATATTAATCCGCGAATTTGGATATTTCTAAAATTTCCACAATTTCCTTTACAAAGTCAATAAATTAAATTTCTAATTAACGAGTTTAATTAACATAAAATCATTCGTCTAAAGGTTTTACAATATTTAAAAGAGTTTAAAGTTTAGTTTCACGTTTGTACATGAAATGCATATTTCTCCACACATATAACAGATTTTTATCATTTACTGACAAAGAAAGTGACTCACGCCTCTTAGAATGAGGAAAACTAGTTTGTAACTTTAAGAATTATCGGTCTACGCTTGGTATATCCTCTGTTAGAGGTGACGGTAGGGGTAGTTGCGGTGGTGGGGGCAGTGGCCGTGGCGGGGATGGTGGCCACAGCGGGGATATTGGCCGTGGCGGGGAAGAGAGAAACGGCTGCGTCGGGGGGGGGGGGGCTCGCAGCTACTCCCGGTGTGAGCAACGCTGTAAATTGAAGTAGATCCCCTGCGCAGTGCAATTTAATGGACTACCTGAAAAGCCCTCCAGTTCAGAGCGCGTCTGAGAGGTCCCATTGCTTTGAGGGCCACAGTCATATCGGGAGGCAGAGGGTGCGACTTCGACTGTCATGGCAACCCAACTTCCGTAGTTTAGACACGGCTAAGGGGAGTAGTAGTTTCCAACATAATCAACATTTTATTGAAATGTTTTATGCTCATTGAGTATTATTACGCAAAACATGTAAGGATTTGATGAGAATATTTCAGGATTACATTACAGTTAATATTATTCACTTTTTTAAAGATTAGTTTCTTATAATAGTTCACAATATGTAAATAGTTTATAATCTAGAAATATTTTCTCAGGCTTTTATGTAAGGGAAATAAATACAACAGAAGGTTGTAGTTGACTGTAATGAAATAGGTTTCTAAGAATGAACAAAAATATTCCTCTTATTTAATATAATTAACATTCACGATTTTCATTATCTTTCCAATGAGGTGGGGTAAAATATATAAATACATTGATGAAGTTTTCAATTTGCGTCAGAATGTTTTGTTAACGAATTTTAGGAGTCCTTTTCCTGTGATATTATAATTTCAAGACTACGTGATTTATTATGCTTAACCTAAAATTTTGCGCATTATCATTTTTTACCTGATATGTAACGCATTTAAACATGTAAATATTGTATTTGAAAAAATGAGAGGAACCCAAATCTTATTGTTTACATCTACCATTTCCTGTTAAAGTAGACATATTAGTAATAACATTAGATAAATTAAATTATCCAAAGAAAAGAGTTGATATTTGGAACAAAACTCTCCACACACGTTTCTTACTTTCACGTAACTCACGAGAAAAAAGTGCCAAGTGTAAAACTCTAAAAATCTACCTCTAAAGAACGACGGAAATTCTCGGAGCGAACTGCCAACTCACATCCTCTTTCAAAAATACGGAAAACCTCCCTGCTCGAGGCGATCCGTTACAAAATGTTTATTTTTGATCTTGCAGTAAAGACGGCTCTTCCCTTCGCCCTTCGCGATATTGGAAATGATTGTTCACCTAGCTTCCGCGTCCGAGGCGCCTGCGGCTGCGGCTGCGGGCCCCTCAAGTCAGATTTAATGTTATGGCAACATGTAAAGCAAACAGCCGGAGAGGGATATCGCGCTCCCGGAAGTAGGGATCCGGCGGCGGTGGGTTCCGCGGTGGCCGCGGAGAAAAACAATTTGTCAACACGGGAGGGCCCCCCCCCCTTCCCCTCGCCGGGGCGCGGGGGCCGCTGTGGAGCGAACTCAGCCGCGCCACTCACCAACCGTCCTCACCGTCCCTGAAGCACCCGCCCATCTCGCCTTCCTTCTCTCGCCCGCCGCGCCGCGCTGCTGCTGCGGCCCGTCCCTGCCACCGCCGCGCCGTCGCTCGTCGGAGTCACCGGCCACGGCCCGTCCAAAACGCGTCCGCCCTCGGCCATGGCGCTCGTCCGTCACCGCCGCAGCCCCACTCTCGTGGCGGACGCCGCCCGCCCCGCCGCCCGCCGCTTTAAAGTGAACGGCCAAAGGCGCGGGGGCGCGCGCCGAATATTTACGGCGCGGCTACAGCGAGCGGGCGGGCGGGCGGGGGGCCGCTGAGGACTGTCGCGAGGGCAGAAACAGGCTCTCTCGAGACGGACGGAAGGAGCGATGTTCGAACACTTCGTCTGAAGCTAATGCTAGTGGACTGATGGAGACCGATATGTTTGGGATTAGTATAGTGGGGGGTGGGGTGGGGTGGGGTGGGAGTTGTGGCTTGAGGATCAGAAAAATGAAAGCTGGGAGATTTTTATAATAAGTAGGAAATTCATACGAGAAATGGGGAGAAAAAAGAGGAGAGAGAGAGAGGGAGAGAGAGAGGGAGAGAGAGAGGGAGAGAGAGAGGGAGAGAGAGAGGGAGAGAGAGAGGGAGAGAGCAAGGGAGAGAGAGAGGGAGAGAGAGAGGGGAGAGGAGGAGAGGGAGAGAGAGAGGGAGAGAGAGGGAAGAGAGAGGGAGAGAGCGGGGAGAGAGGAGCGGGAGAGAGAGAGGGAAGAGAGAGAGGGAGAGAGAAGAGGGAGAGAGAGAGGGAGAGAGAGAAGGGAGAGAGAGAGGGAGAGCAGAGAGGGAGAGAAGAGGTGAGAGAGAGAGGGAAGAGAGAGAGGGAGAGAGAGAGAGGGAGAAGAGAGGGAGAGAGAGAGGGAGAGAGAGGGAGAGAGAGGGAGAGAGAGGGAGAGGAGAGGGAAGAGAGAGAGGAAGAGAGAGAGGGAGAGAGAGAGGGAGAGAGAGAGGGGGAGAGAGAGGGAGAGAGAGGGAGAGTAGAGGAGAAGAGAGCGGGAGAGAGAGGGAGAGAGAAGGGGAGGAGAGAGGGGGAGAGAGGAGGGAGAGAGAGGGAGAGAGAGGGTAGAGAGAGGGAGAGAAAGGAGGGGAGAAAGGAGAGAAGAGGTAGAGAGAGGTAGGGAGAGGTGAGGAGAGGTAGAGAGAGGTAGAGAGAGGGAGAGAGGGAGAGAGAGGGAGAGAGGGAGAGAGAGGGAGAGAGAGGAGAGAGAGGGGGGGGGGAGGAGAGGGGGAGAGAGAGGGAGAAGAGAGGGGAGAGGAGGGGGAGAGAGGGAGAGAGGGGGGGAGAGAGGGGGAGAGAGGGGGAGAGAGAGAAATAAGAAATAGAAAAGAAGATAACCTAAGTGGTATCTAGACATTATTTATATCACATGTACTCATAAGTATAATAATGTGAACAAATCGACGCTAGTGTAAATATTAACGACATGAGAAACAAGTCAATAAAATTACATTTTTGTAATTCTTGTATGAGAAAAAGAAAACTGATGTTTATGTCATATCATAGAGTACATTTAGTTCTATTACTATCAAAAATTTAAAAGAAAAAAATTGGAGCAGTTTTTGAGAACATCGTCATTTTATAATTTTATAAAATTCTACATATTGCACGCAATATTGCACGAAAACAACTAATTTTTTTAAAATTGTGCCTGACCTTCATGAAAGAACTTACTAAGGAGAACAAATTTTGGTTTGAAGGGAAATCTCTATCTTCTGTTTTGAAGTTGCAGGAAGACGCCCCAAAAATGCATAATTTTAAACTTTAAAAAAATCGGATCTAAGCCACCTTTATAAGTTGTTATATAAGTGTACAAGAAATTTAAAGAAAAAAATTGGAGCCGTTTTTGACAAAATTTTGAAAATGTCTGTGGGGGGAGTTCATGTAAAGTACCCCCAAAAATTAATCAATATTTTTCAAAATCGTAGAGCTTTGACTCAGGCCAGATCGAGAGCGGTTTAGTTTGAAAGTAATAGCACACATAGTTTAGGCGCTAGTGATGTTCATATACACCAGACAGACGGATGGACGGAGTAAAAACTAACAAAACAACAACACTTTTTCGGTATCAGCGGACACCAAAAGTGTATTTCCGTTGAAATTTTGAAATCGATGTTCTGCAACGTTACATAACTTTCCGTACACTACGTATATTACTCCGTATATACGTATGTATAGGGGAAAGTAAAAATCTATCTTTAATATTGCAGTTTTAGAAAGACGCCCAAACAAACTGAACTTCCCCAATTATCAAAAATTAAAACTTCAACCAAACTGAAACTCGCGGCAATTTAGTGTCACTTACTCTTAAAGAATTTTAATCTAAAGTTTTGGAACCATTTGTGAGGAAAGTTAGAAAATATTAAACAGACTATTTGAGAAACCCTCGAAAATAAAAAAAAAATCATCTCAAATTCGCCAGTCCTCGAGATCAGACAGATCGATAGAGAAATATCAATGTTGGAGAAGGTTTAAGCACTAGTCTTGATCCCCGAGCACATGAGCATGTTAGAGGAAGAAATATACTATATATACGAAGACGTATCCTCTTTTTCGACACTAGGACCCCACAACGTGTGTTTTTCTCACAAAAAATCGTCACTTTCCGTTGCATATTCACAATGCTTTCTCTTGAGTACGCAAGTACGAGAGGGAGAGATAAAACGAATTAGGCGTTGAATTGCTTACCGGTCAAAATACAGGCTTGTAAAATAATTACATAATGGTAAATAATTTTTACTGAAAGCAAGAGAGAGGATATATTTAGATAAAAGAGAAGAATATTAAATAACAAACAATTTAAATATCATTGCGAAAATTCATTGTTATTGAAGTAACAATTACAGAAAGATATGAAAGTACAAGAAGAAAAACAAACAATTTGTCCAAGAAATTGCTGCAAAATTCTACGAGCATAAAAATATGCCAACTTAACTAGATTTGCTTACGATTGTGCACCGTAATTAAAAATATTATTTCGTCAATGATAGAACTAATGATCAACCATTAATTAAATATTTCTACTGAATTTTCATAGAACCAAATTAAAGGATACACTTTGCCTGTATTTTTACATTCTACAAACACGGACAATTCACACAATTCTGTGGCTTGTAATTATATTCGAATTTCAATTAGAGAGAATAAATTCCAATCCAAATTCATTTGGAGAGAATAAATTTGACACTTTTGTTTCGTTTTTCATGTGATGCACAAAGCCTCATCAAAACATCCATTTGTTTATAGGAAAAAAAGCGGAATTTGAAATAATTCTTATAGCAGGTTCATACATTTTTCTGTATCATGTGGTCACACTATTGTCTATATTATTGTTATTATTGTACTTAAAACGCATTTATATGAAGTGTAAATGTTTAAAGGAAGTTTTATATGAATGTTAATACAAATTATATTTTGGGAGACTTTTTTTAAAAGAGACCTACATAGTTAACTTTGAATTCAGTAAAAACTTACCCTCACCGTAAATCCGGATTGAAAATATCGACTTCATTTATTCAAATAACCTCTAGAAAAAAGAAGTGGCATTACTGTTGCAAAGGATTGGGAGTTAGGAGGGAATGTAATCCTCTGATTGTAAGGATCGCAAAAGATGTCTTTTGTGAACTGAGTGCAGGAAAGGCGATACCTTGAGCCGTAATTCGTATTGATATCTTTGAGAGTTGTCATAAATGTTGAAACATTTTTGCTAGGAGGAGATGCATTTAATTAGGACACAGTTACAACAGATAATCAATAAACACTTCCCATGAATTCTGGAAAATTAAAGAAAAAGCATAAAAACACCCCCCACCCAAAAACTCACAGGAGTCACAGAAAGCACAAAATACTTTAAAAGATGCAAAGAGCCACGCAAACGGATGAGTAACGGGGTCCGTCACTGCGCGGAGGCTGGGGGGTGGCGGGGGGCGGGTGCGGGGGGGCGGGGCGGCGGGGGGCGCGGGGGGCGGCGGCGGGCCCGGCGGGGCGGGAGGGGCGCCGGGGGGCGGGCGGGCGGCGGGGCGGCGGGGGCGGCGGGGGGCGCGGGGCCGGGGCGGGGCGGCGGCGGGGCGGACGGGGGCGCGGAGGTCGTCGCAGGCAGTGGGCGGCCGGGAGGGCGAAATTTCGGGGGCGGCCGGGCGGCGCGGGGACTTTAAAATCCGATTCCGGCGCGCAGACGTGGGTCCCATGCGAAGCGCTCTTTTTTTCCCGTTCACAAATCTCCTTCCTCTAATGGATGCGAGCGGCGGCGGGGCGGACGGGCCGAGCCAGGAAATGAACGCGTGGCCGTGAAATAAATATGCCTGTGTACACTGCAGGCGTTTTGCTTTTTCGTTCTGATATAATAAATAGTGGAAAACTCGGAGAAACAATACAAACTGTTTAGATACCACGTATGAACAAATGGAAATGTAAAACTTCTCTTTTTCCGGAAATATAAAGCATTGCCTGCGCGTTGTTTTTGTTCAGAATATGAATTAATTTTCTAATTCAATTCTGAAGTTAATATTTGTTAAAAAATATAGTTAAAATTGTTGTACAGATCGAAAAAATCTATTGGGTGCTTTTTTAGCCTGATCGTATTCAATTGAATTTTATTACATATTTCGAGAACTGAGTTCAAAGTAGCAAGTTGCGCAAGTGATGAAAGTAATAGTTGTAGTTCAAAATGGTTTGCATGGAAGAAATGTAAGAAAATGCGCTGTTCCTGATTTTAAATATAAAAATTATCTGGTTATTAAAAAAATGTATTCGAATTCAGTTACGTAAATTGCTAAATCAATATGCAAGAGCAAAAAGATGAGATCAACGAGACAAACGAAACAAGTATACCATATCTTCATCACGAGTGTCTCTTTTAATACGTTATGTGTTTTTAATTAGGCAGAACACGGTACGTAACTTACATCAGTATGAGCAGGGCGCTGAAGTAATTTAACTAATTTTCGAAGAGTTAAGTAACCCGCCGCAAGACAGTAAACTCGCTTCCCGCAACGAGTATTCCGCAGCCACCTCTGCCAGGAAGTTGGGCAGAAAGCAGTTAACACGACTTTAAGCAGAGCGGGCGTCGCGGTGTGGACGGCAGCGGAAGGGCGTAGGCGAACGTGGCGACGGCGGTGACAGAAGGACTGAAGGGAACCGAGGAAAGAGAGAGCCACAGGGGTAGTGGAGACCACCTGAGACTGAGGAGTAAAACAGGGAGGAATCTAGGAGCCTCGGAAGTGGAGAAGAAAGCAGAGTAAACAATACAAAAAAACAAAAAAAAAGAAAGACTGGTTGGAGATTGATAGAAAGCAAGAGAAGACCAGTGCGCAAAAACAAGGGGAGAGGTAGCGAAGTGGCGAGGACGGCCGGGGGTGACGAGGCTAGCTAGGGAATGGCGAGGTCAGCAAGGAGGTGGTGATGCCAGCTAGGAAGTAGTGAGGGCAGCTAGGAGGCGGTGATGTCAGCTAGGAAGTGGTGATGCCAGCTAGAAGGTGGTGATGCCAGCTAGGAAGTAGTGAGGACAGCTAGGAGGCGGTGATGCCATCTAGGAAGTAGTGAGGGCAGCAAGGGGGTGGTGATGCCAGCTAGGAAGTAGTGGGGGCAGCTAGGAGGTGGTGATGCCAGCTAGAAAGTAGTGGGGGCAGCTAGGGGGCAGCGAGGACACCTGGGGAACGGCGAGACAGCTAAGGGGTGGCGAGAACGGCTAGTAACGACCGCTGGGGCAGTGCCGAGGGCAGTTGAGGTGGGGAAAATGTAGGCAGGAGGCTTGGGGGGAGGGGGGATTACGGGTAAGATGTGAAGAAGGGGGAGAAGAAGGATAGGAGGAGGTCAGCAAGTGGGAGGTCAGCAATAGTGGAAACTAGGCAGTGCCGGATAAAAATTTGAAGGAAAGGGGGTGGTGACGAGAAGGAGCGGGCAGCGGAGGCCGCAGCCGCACAGGGGGCGTGGGCGGCGTGTGCCACTCAACTCATTAACAACAGCGCGGCGGAACAAATACTGCTTCCCCGTACTCGCGTCCTTTCGCCGAACCGCAAAGGGGTGTAACTTGCGCCGGGAGTCCGCAAGAATTATGGGCCACCGCCAGCGGTTGCAGCGGGGGAAAGAGGGAACGCCAACGGGAGACGGTGGCGAATACGGTCGCACTGTGAAAGGATACCACGGTAGCGAGGGAGGCTTGAAGAAATTGATACATAAGAATGTTGAGGAATTGGGGAAAACTAGATAGAAGAATATTGAAGAGGAGGTGGTAGATGAAACTGGAGACTGAGCTAAACGTAAATGCGGTGGAAATGACAATAAATTACTATTCATAGTGTAGAAGAAGTAGAAGCGATGAAATTGCAAAAAAGTTGGATAAAACCGATAAAAGTCGAAGGAAGAACGAAGGTAGCATTGAATAACCGACGAAAGGGTTCACGTGGGGTTCGTTTGACGTCGGTTTGACTGTACGAAAGGTTCGGGTGGAGGCGATGCTGGGGGTTGAACAGGTTATCAGCAGTCAAACGGGCCACGGGGGGGGGAGACTGTATGGTGGTCAAGGCCCACTACTCCTATGGTGAGAGGTGAACACTAGCGTAACAAATAGAACGTTTCGCTCTCTGCCATATTGTAGTCAAATGGGGGATGCGATCATATAATACTGTATCTTAACGCTATTTTACGGAATATTACGGATTCAAAACGTGAAAAATCCCATTGTAAACATTCCTGACATCCATGATAAATAAATTAGTCGGTTAGGAGGGGCGCGGAAGAGAAATCGAAGCGAGACTCGATGGGGCTGGACGAAGCGGGACAGGGTAGTGTGGGGCGAGGCGGAGTGGGGCGGGGCTGGGCGGGACGGGGAGGCGAATGCAGGGGGCGGGGAAGGAGGAGGCAGAGAAATGGAACGTGTGCGGGATGGACGTGAAATGGGTGGGTGGCACTGGTGGGAAGAGAGGTAGGATGGAACGAGGGTGAGGCGGAGAGGCGGCTGAGCAGAGGCTATGCCGGGGGCGCAGACAGTCTGATGCGGAGGCGTAAGAAGGCTTCGAAATAGGGAAGGGGTTGTGGGCGCTCAGGGAGATGTGTAGCGGTGGGGGTGGGAGAAGAGCGAGGGTGGACATGTGGGTAGCGCCGGTGGCAACGGCGAAGGCAGTGATTGTGATGGTGGAGGCGGTGGCGTGGGCGGGGGGCACGCAGCGAGGAGGCGACGCCAGAGGGAGCTGCACAGCGCAACTTGGGCCGGGCCATTAATTGTATTGTGCGCTTCGCGTCGGCGGGCGCGCCCCCATTAAGCCAGTGACCCTGTGCCCGGGAGAATCGGAGTAGCGGCCGGAAGAACGTCCTGAAGTTGCGTCTGGCCCCGCCCCACGTCTTCCCTCTGCTGCGCTAATCCACACGATTGGGTGTTTCACTGAAATCCATTTATCATGTGGAGAGTTTGCCGGTAAAAACCAGAAAATCTCTAGGGAAACGTAAATAGGACAGACAAATCCAATTATCTTTAGATACTGTATAAAAAATCACAGTTAACGGAAATGAGAATCGACATAGTCAGAAACAGATAAAACTTAATGACTCTTTAGACATTTATATTATTTTCTTATGTTTCTTTATTTATATTATATTTTTTTATGTTAATCAAGAATTAAAATAGCTTAGCCTGGCGTTCGCGGCGGTGGGTACTTTCATGTTGACAAGTTTTGTTAAAGTTATGCAAGTTCATATAAAAATTAATTTTGAAAACCATGAAGTTGCCTGGGTTGCCTATCGTCAAAAAATGTAGATAAAAGAAAACGTATCCATGGAAGTCGACCTTTATTACATTAGTAAGCTTAACCATTGCCAATATAATGGAACACTATCGACAATGTAATGAATCACGCCCTAGGAAATCACTTTGATGCGTAAAGGCAGTATAGTAATTCACATAGTTTCAGCAGTGTATGAGCCTCATAAGTTGCCGAACATTTTTTTTCGAGAAATAATCATGAATAATTCGAGAAAGATTCGCCTCACAAATATAGCTTCCTGGCGAGATCTATTGATTGTAATTACCTTCATAAGTGGCTTTAAACTCACCCAATATGTGTTTGATAACCTTCCGATACCAACAAATATTTACAGAAAATTCATACAAAACTTATGTTTAATTATTTTCAGTACTATGGTGAATATAGTCATAACGATTCATTTCTAATCGTGTAAATGTTTGTATGCAAGGATATAAAATCCAAAATAAACTAAGTCTGAATTAGAAAAATCATATGGGAGAAATGATTATTCTCGTAACTTCTCTTTTAACAATATCGTACGGCCAATCAGTAACATGCTTTTACTTTTTCGTTGAGTCGTTTTGCGTAACTGAAGTTTATTGCGCCATTCTTGTCAACTCTTACTCGTTCCCGTTATAGAACAAGGATATAGAATCTTGATGCGACAGTAAAAATCACTTTTTATGAGCTGTTAGACAGGGTACACTTTATGGTGGCACCTGGAAACCATAAAATTGGCAGATGCTTCACCGGACGAGACTCGTAATGCAAGAGACGCTACTGAACGGTACAAAAAACTGCTTCGAAAAATATGCCGATAGTATCTGCACATCTTGAATTCACGACCACAATCATAATTGTGGGAATATTTTATTAGTGTTAGTCAATTAACTAGTACATTACTTCGCCGACCTGTCGAAAATTTATTGCTCCCTCATCAGGACATCTTATTGTTGCATGTTGGAAAACAAAATTGTGTACCACGATGTGGTATTCAGAAGACATTCACGAACCACACCACTACTTTCTAGCTTTATTTTCACAAGACTGGAGAAGTCATCCTGCTAAGCCTTTGTTCCTTCTGAGGTTCTGAAGTGGTGCACTCACAGTCAAGCTAGGATTGACAGGCCCGTCGGATACAACCGGCGCGTCGAAGCCTTGTCAGTCCTGGCTTGAGGGTGTTTGGGGCGCATGGCTGGACCCACACTCACCGAGGCCGTGTGGGCGGTCGGTGTCCTGCACGCTCTGGCTGGAGGACGCCTGCGACACGCCGCTGGAGTCGGTGGTGCTGATGGGCTGCAGCTGGAGGCCCACCGCCCCCAAGCCGCCCCGCCGCCCGCCGGGCAGCGGCTTGAAGGGCGCGGGGCCCGGCGGAGCCGCCCCGCGCAGCCTCCGCCGCAGCTTGGGCATGTCGAAGGGCAGGTCGTGCAGGTCCACGGACGTGGCGCTGCCGGAGGTACACGTGTCCTGCGCAACACACACGCACCCCCTCGCACACAACTGGCACACGGTTTCTGCCAATTAATCTCTAATCAGCGAAAAACTGCAGCAAAGGTTAGTTTGTGTGTAATATACTCAATACTCACAACGCTAATCGCGCTCAGAATACCTTAAAAAATGTTTGCATATTAAATGAGATCATAACATTTATTTTAACTTAATCAGAACGTGCAATATATTGACATGCTTTAATATTACCTTACAAACTGTATTTTAATTAGGATCTAAGTACGGTTTTATGATGCGATTGGGATAAAGTCTGCAGACTTTTGAGCGAATGCAAGTATTACGTATGTAATTGAAGATAACAGACAAAATATTACAAATAAACTACTCTTATTCTGAATATACAAGGAAAACAATATTTATTTAAACCGAATTAAATTATTTGTTGTTCTCCAAGGGCATACTCTTATTACATCTTGCAAGAAAAAGTCTTTCAATAAATTTCTTTGAAAGGTCACAAGGTTCAAAGGCTAAATAGGACGCTGATGAAGTCATAAACAATAGTATGTACAATTAACACATTTTAATGATCATTGGATTAAAGCTAAAACGATTCTTTTCACGATCCATAACATTTAGACGCTTTATGACAATCCGAAGACGCAATGATTGCCTTCTCACATCTGCACTCTTCTTACAATTCATCAGCAACTTACTTTACCCACAATCGCCAAATTGAGAAGATGGGGGGTGTCTTTACACGGAGGTACTCGGTGGCGCCACCGAGAAGTGGCAGACATATTCAGATAAGGCAACCGTCACTCACCACTAGCGTGTTCGTGAGTCACACTTCTATGGGCTCAGGTGGCTGAAAGTTAGGCAAAAGAGGTTCAGTGGCGCGTCTAGTATGAACGTCGTCATTTAGAGCCCCTTTCTACTGGCAGTGGTGCAGACTAGCGTCTGCGCTGCTGGCGGGACACCGCACCGGCACCCAGCACCACACCAGAGCGACTACGCCGCTCGTGTGAATACCTCCATTTAAACCAATGCTTTTTCAGTAGACGCGTCAATCGAACGCGCTGCCGAGAGGCGCCGTGTGAAGGACGCCATCAGACGGAGCCACTCGGTAGCCCCAGCCACGCAGCCGACCGCCACCGACCTCGAGAGAGGAAGGTTTCAGGAGTTACATCGCTATGGGCTCAGGCGGCCGACAAAGACTGGTGGCGGCGTACAAAAGTAGACAGAGCGGTTCAACGGCGCGTCTAGTGTGGACGCTGCCATTTAGATCTGTGATCTGGTAACGAAGGCGCGGACGCGCTGCGGGAATCCGCCACAGAACGCTAGAGCAGCGCCACTCCACCGCTCGTGTGAAAACCTTCATTTAAACCAGTGCTCTTGCTCTCAGGACGCGCTGAGCAGGGCCTGACCTCAACCTGCCTGCATGAGCGCTGGCGCCGCGCAAGCTTGGGCATGTCGAAGGGCAGGGTCTGCGAAGTCGACGGGCGCCGGGGCGATGCGACGACGCCGTCGTCGGGCTCTCGCCGTCGCCGGCCCTCGTCCCGCCTCGCCGCCGCCGCCGGCCGTTGACGCCTGCTGGCCCGCGCCCAGCCCCGGCCCAGGCCAGGCCCAAGCCAGGCCAGGCCCAGGCCCAGGGCCGGGCCCGCCGGAGCCGCAACCCTTGCACGCCTTGGGGCGCCGCCGCCGCCGCCGCGGACTCGATGGAGATGCCGCTGTCAGAGCCCTAAACACACGTGGCAGCATTCCGCGCGTTGTAAATTCTGATCTTAGGAGGGAAAACAGCTGTCCAGTAATCTAATAGCCCCAAGCGCCTCCAATAACTGCCATTTATAGCAAGCATTATACACCCGAACTTTGGGTATATTATTCGCTCGTGAGCTGCAATTGTGGCAAAATCAAAAATCAACGAGGATTTTGAGTTAATGCACTTTCCAGATGGCAGATGGGTCTACCTTCCAGAGGCAACAGCAGCATATTTCATAGTACAGTACCCTATACAGCAAATGGAAGAAGTGTGAATAGAGAAATGAAGCATTTCAGTATAAGGTGGAACTTCAAATACATTTAATCTCAACATCAATTTTTTTGAGTTGTGCGCCCTATTGAAGCCTTCGAACGATATGTGTCTTATCACAATATACAATACAAATTCACACATATACACACAGTCTATATTGCTAAGAATCAGATTAAATTGCACAAAATACACTTTTTTACGGAGTCAGGGTACTGAGAAGAGAACAAACTACCTGAAGCTCCGAGATTTCATTTTTGAAGATTACGTCACAATAAACATATTATGTGTCCTTAAAAATACGATAACATGGGATTTTAAGAGCATCGATTTCAGTTTATGTTAATTAAATATCGAATACCACTGGCCCAAATAATTCTCGCATCATAGGTTTTAAATTAAAACAATATATTTAAAAGTCGAAACGCCATATTGTAGTTATTACTGGTATTAGTTGAAATGAATTTAATAATAAATAAGTTTTATTTCACTACAAGTTTTTTTCTATTTGCCCATGAAAAAGTGCACAAACGAACTTTCTGAACACAACTAGTGCTATTTGAAATTCTGTAAGAGCACTATTATGACACTAGATGAAGCTCCTTAAAGCATCCTGCTTGAGTATCGATCGATGATCGAGTCGTCGTTGGAGACAATAAAAATGAATTATATTTATAATAAATTATCATGTGTATTCCCTTTATCGTAAGCCCTCGTAACAGTTTCGCTTTAACGGCTCACCCCGGTTCGATTTCCGCTCGAGAACAATAATTTGTGTGCTTCCTGCAACGTCCCAGTATGTGCTGTATGACAATGAGAATCTCACTTCTCAGGTTGAGAGGCGACATACAGCGTAGGCGATGGCTATGTGCTAACCCATGTACCATTAACCCATTGCTCGTAAGAGCAGTTGTGCCAAAGTACGTACATTCCTTTATCGTCATCGCGAGTGACAAGTAGCAGTGCGCACTCACTTGGATCTCCGCTCCCCCGACGACTGCTGGGCTGCAGCGCCAGGTTGATGAGGGTTCTTGTTCTGCGGCGTGCGCCGCCTGCCTTGCCCTGGCCCTGGTTGGGCGCGGGCGCGGGCGCGGGCGCGGGCGGCGCGCTGCGGCGGGGCGGCGTCGCCCAGCCGCCTCGCCGCGCCGCCCGTCGTCGTCGCCGCCCGCTGGCGGGCGACGTAGCTGCTCCGAGGTGTCCTCGGGCGACGCGCGCTGCGAGTTGTTGTTTGCGGTTGTTGTCGCTGACGTTTCGGACGCGGCTCCTGCGACACTTGTCCGAGATTGGGCGACAGGATGTGCAGCTTGTTGGCCTGGTGGGCGAAGTAGCGCCCGCCGCCGCGACCGGCGCCGCCGCCCGCACCGCCGCCGCCGCCCAAAGCCGCCGGCTGCCGCCGCCGCCGCCGCCGCCCAGCGGCGTGCCCGCGCTGGCGGTGCACGCGTGGTGGTGGTGATGGTGGTGGTGGTGGTGGTGGTAGAAGTGGTTGGCAGGTTGTGTCAGGTTGCCCGCGCCGGCCGCGCTGACGCTGCCCGCCGAGTCGGAGTAGTGCGAGCTGAGCGAGCTGCTGCGGCGCCGACTCGGAGATGGTGGTGCTGCGGTTTGCCCTCGCTGGTGCTGGAGGGCAGCGACTCCAGGCTTGCCGCCGCTGCTGCTGGTGGCCATGCTCTCCGTGCTGGAGTAGTTGGTTCGCGCCGCGCAGCGGTGGTGGGCGCCGCCCCTTCAGCTCCAGCAGGCAGTCGCGCGCGGCCAGCGAGCGCGGCCGCCCCTTGGAACTCGAGGATGAGGCGGTCGGCCCGCCGCCCGCGCCGCCCGCGCCCGGGTTCAGCTCCTCCTCCTGGCTGGAGGACAGCGGCCGGCGCCAGCCCAGGCGGCGGCGCGTGCGGCAGCGGGTCGCGTCGCCGCGAGCGACTTCACCGGCAGCCGCAGGTCCTGCGCGCGCACACACCACAGCCCCACCCTCAGCACACAGCCCGCCTTATGCAAGTACAAGCAAAGGGTTTCTACTCTCTTGCCAGAACGGATTTGCTAATGCATTGACAGCTCTTTTTACGAATACTTTTGTTATTGGGTAGAGAGATCTGCTCTACGGAAAATGGTCATTTTAAACTTGAACCAACTTACAAGGAAAATTGTTTTAAACCCTTGATAGATGTTTTATAAATCCTAGTTAAGGTATTTAGTTTCATGATTATTAGTAATATTTCATAAAGAACATTATCTTTACATTTATTTGATCAAGAGAACATTTCAAAACGTTATTGCATGAAAAAACCAATTGAAATGAAAGTATTACTACTTAAAGTATAACTGTTAGGCATTACCTTTGTCAATTTTCAATGTGATCCAAGTTCAAGAAATAGTATGCCAAAATTATTTATCTAGCCACAAAGGTATTCTAATTTAGAGAGATTATAAATAAATTCAAATTCTAATCTAAATTTTTTACACTTAAAACTAAGTTAAAAAAGAACGAAACAAAAGGATGAATAAGATGCCTAGAAAGATAAAATACAGGAAGAAGAAAAGAGAGAAAGACAGAAAAAATTAAAGAGAAAGAAGAAAAAAGGAGAATTTGGCAAGCAATAAAGAGTCTCTTAATAAGTGGAATAAATGAAAGAGGAGTAAGGTAGAAAGGTGAGTGAAGTGCCTTGAGCCTGGCCGGGCGCGGGGGCTGCGCGGGCAGGTCGGGGGCGCTGCGCACGCCGGCTCAGCAGCGTCCTTGCCTGGCCCTGCTGCCGTGGAACTTGGCGGCAGCGGCGCCGTGGGACGGCGGCGAGGGCGAGTAGCCGCGCAGGGGCAAGCAGCAGCGGCGGCGCCGCCTCGGCGGCGGGCGGGGCGCCCCGCCCGCCGCCCCGCCCACCTCGCCTCGGCCAGCTCCAGCGCCTGCAGCTCGCGCGCCAGGGCGGCGTCGGCGGCGGCGCCGGGCGCGGCGGCGGCGGGCGGCGGCGGCGGGGACGGCGGCGGCTGCTTGGGGCCGCCCCCGCCCCAGGCCGCTCCGCACGGGCTTCCCGCGCGACAGCGTCACTGCGACGGCGCGGCCCCGCTCGTCTCTGCCCCACCCGGCCCGCTCGCCCTCCCCTCGCATGGACACCTCCCCGCGTTAACATGCATTTTCAATGCAAATAATTGACTGTTTTAGTGATTATGGGCACGTCATCAGGTCATTAATCCATACGGTAAGTAATTTTCCCATCGGGAGGTACGGCGATCTTTCCTTCGATGAACGGGCGGAGCATCCGGCGCAACCTACCGTCGCTAGCACAGGTTTTCCCCAACGCAGGGGGGCACCGCCCCCAAGCCGGGTAAGCTCTAGCTCTCGACCGTGTCTACCAGGCTGTATGCTTGTGTAGGCGTATTGGTGTAAGTGTGTGTGTAAGGAGAGAGGGTAAGACTCAGCAGGAAGGTAAGAAAGATCGCGTGTGTCCGTGGCCGTTTGATACGGTTACTGTTTCAAGCATTCGCCTGCTGTTGACTCGGAGAAACCACGGAAAATCTACCGATCAAGTAGCAGACGGGCGCTAGAATTCTCCTCCAGATATCGACTGAATTCCGCTAGCTGATACGAGCAAGTGTCGCCGTCAGGACTCGAATCAAGAGACCCGCGATCAGAGGCACTGCAAGTGACATAGTATGCTCTGAGCCATCTCTCCCGGTTAATGCAAACAAAATCATCATCTTTCAGGAATGAACCGTAAACGTAACATAGTCTTAATGTCAACGTCAACGTAAACATGGTCGTTAACAGCAGCCAGATCATCGATATCAATACAATGACCACTTGCTTAGAAGATTTGGTATTTAATCCGGCGACATTACGAAAAATGGACTTGTTCACGAGTCCCTCGCAAAAGCGTCTGGTCTCGCACGAAGTAGGATTCATCAGTAAAGAGGTGGACGTGAACGTCAATTTTTCCCATGTAACTCATAATGGTATTGATGGTGTTTGAATATTGTCGTACGTGTTAGTGGGTGTGTTCATACATTTATTATACTTATTTTAAAGATTTTGTTTCAATGTATGTTCGTAGTAAGTTGTTTTCTCCCGTGCCCATGCAAATAACTTAAAAGTTAAACACATATTGTTTCAATTGTTATTTTCATTTTCATATTTCTCACGTGTAAGGTTTTTTAATTATTTTTATTGACAACTGGAATATAAGAGATTAAAGTCAGTTTACCTAAATACGATTTTATTTATTCATTGTCTTCCAGCGTATCAAATAACCCCAAGTCCATTAGAAATATACTTGTAAAAAAGTAAAAACACGAAATAATATTTTAATATTTAACTGAATTAGCTAATGAAAAGTGGAATTTTCTGCTATTTGCGAGAACGGTTTGCCGTAAGCGCTTACCTTCTCCGGTCTTGGGCGTGCTAGACGCCGAGGCCGGCCTCCTTGAGGAGCCGGGGTGGGCGGGGCGCGCGGGCGGGGCGGGCGCGCGGTGGGCGCGCGCCCGCCAGCGCCTGCAGGATGGGGTGGTTGGGTGCGCGGTCCACGTCATCCAGGTCGTCGGTCCGACGCGGCGATCTTGCAGATCGAAGGCCGTCTCGTAACACGTGACGCTGGCGCCGCTCATGTCTTCGTAGTTAGTCGTCCTCCTCGTCGAGGTTGTCGAGCGAGCCGATGCAGCGGCGGCCGGCGCTCGTCGGGTCGGACGTCGTATCCGCGGGCGGCTCCTCTAGCGGCGGCGCGACGGGCGTAAGCCGCGGGGGCGCGCGGGGGCGGGGGGCGGGGGCGGCGAGTCATCTCGGGAAGTAGTCGTCGTCGCCGCCGCGCACGACTGCACCGCGGCGGCGCACGCGCACAGCGATCGCCTGCGCACACACGCGCGCTCCCGAAACGCCCTTCATATGCGATTGAGGGCTCGTTGGAAAGCATTGGAAAGCGGAAGGAGCCTCGATTGCCAGGGTAACCGATTGTAAAGCTCCAGTGCAACGGTACCAAGAGATGGAGGCTCCTCTGAAAGGTTAACAAACGAGGAGTACTACTGGGCGTCCGGGAGGAAGTCCAAAACTTTGCAAATGCAGCTTTCAAGACAATTTTAAGCATATTTTGTCTAAAAACTACGTCGATGTTCCAAATAGAAGAAGCCGCAATAAGCACTCAAAATCGAATAGGAAAAATGGTTTTCTAGGCAAACATTTACACTTGCAAGAAGCATGGAAAAACGCCAAAAACGTGTAAATTGTTTAATATTTACAAAATAAATGAATATATTTCTTACAGAAAGAAAAATCAACACAATAAAAAGTACCAATTTACACAATTGAACTGCTTTCTTTATTTCTAGCT